GGGGAGGTTACTTATGGCGTCTATCTACAGAAAATGTTGTTTTTTTTTCTTCCAGTTCTTTGGAAACCTTTTATTTTTCATTTAAACATCATTAGAGAAGTGTTTATGTGTTATGAAAAAGAAAGAAACAAATATTTCACGTTAGTATAACGAATATCTTGGCTTGAATACCGTTATACCCCATGCATGCAATGATATTAATGCAATTTAAAGTACTGTTCTATATTGTTGCCAAAACAATTCTTATGTTTGAATGTGCATGGCATGCTGAAACGTATAAGTTCACATGAGTAAAATTAAATCTACACGTAAACTTGAACCAAACGTTTGCATGTATGAGTTTACTGCTAAAAATATAACACCAATTAACTTAAAAAGAACGCGTTATAAGCCCTCAAAGCGTAGATTCACGTGAAATTCCATCACATACGTTTCTTAAAAACTCACAAAAGTGCCAATGAAAAAACTACGGATCGTATATTATGAAAAAGTGCATCGATCCACGAAAAATATTATTTTCTTCGAACTTCCAACTTGGCATTTCATTAATCATACGTGCCAGGTAATTAATCTCTCATCACCAAGTCTAAGTCTATATAAGGCTTTGTCAAGACAAGATTACACACTAACCTGTATCATATTCAAGCTCATTCAAAACTAGTGCAAGACAAAGAGAAAAAGAAAAGAAGAAGAAGAAGAAGATCAAAAAAGTATTAAAAGCAATGGAGAAATATTTAGGGTTTTTGGTAATTCTTCTTCCATTGATGATTCTTGCACTGAGCTTGAATTCAGGTTACGTGAATGCTGCCACGTTTTTGCCACCAGAGGATAAGCCACTGGAGAGGCATTACTATAAGAAGCTGAATACATGTGCAAATGTGGAGCCATTTGTGAGACACCAAGTGAATCTGTTTTGGGACAGAGATAAAACTGTCACTGCCAAATTGCTCAAGCTGCTCTATGCTGATTGCATGCTCAATGTACGCCTCTCTCTCTCTCTCTCTCTCTCTCTCTCTTCACTCGATTTTTAGTATTACTCTCTCCGTTTCAATTTACTTCCGGTTTACTAAAGTTTACGAACGAGTAGTAGTCGTTAGACGTCGGACTAAGTTAAAAGGTTTTAAAAAACGTTAAAAAAAAAAACGTTTTTACGAAAACGTTTGGTAGTTAAAGTTTTAAAAAGCAAGGTTAAAGGGGGTAAAAGTCGTTTGGTACGGTACCAATAACTAGTTTGTGGTTAAGGTTAAAAAGTCTTTTACAGTTAAGGAAATTAAAAAGTAGGGTAAAAATTAAAAAGTTTAAAAATGTGGTATTATTTTTGGAATAGCTAGACTAATAAGGAAAGTGTGTCATTTAAATTGAAATAGAGGGAGTAATAACCATATCTTGTGATTTTTATAGACCGACTATTTTATTGACGATCAGAAATTATAACGATCGAATTCATGCTTGTCCTTACAAAGTAGTTGCTAAAAGTTTAATTTTATTTCTTTCTTTCTTCTTGTAATCTTGTTTTCCTTAATTAATATATATATTCATTCCCCATGTCTTCTTGTCTTTGTTATACCAAGAGTTCTACTTTTTTCAATCGTTGCCACTTAAAACATGGTGCAACCGCCAGAAAATTCAATATTACCTAATAACTATAACGATTTTATTAACTTTATCCTGAGACTTTACCAAACCGACTCATGTTTTTGCTAGTGTCTTTTGCTAAAAATATCACTCTTATAATTCAAATATCGTTCATGTGCACCAATATTTTGATACAAATAAGGGCATTAGTGTTAATCTCCATTGATTTTGGTGTCGAATAATATGAGTAAATAATATTATGTACGTACTCTCGGAATATTTATATTACTAATATCTTATCTTATCCAGCCCTTCCCTTAGACGCTTGGGTAGCGTAGTAAAGGCAGATAGATACCTTTAACCATAAGCAACTAAGTTTAATACATGCCGTTAATATAGAGGACATATTTGACTATGATGCAAAATCTAAGCCTATAAAATTGGCGTGTCTCCTCTTTAAAAAAGAGAAAATGTATAAGAAGAAAAAGGAAGAGGATTAGAAAATAAAGATGCTTACTTAACTTTTGTTTGGCAACACAATGGTTGTAACTTGTAACTACTGACAGTGTTTTAAAATTTCTTTTCATTAAGTTTGACCAAGCTACATCTATTAATAAACTAGTAGTATGATTTACAGCCCCACCTACAAACCCGGAGTTGTGGGTTCGAGTCACCAACGGGGGCGTATCTATAGCCTATAATACGGGCACGTGAACCCATGGTCCCTCCGTCAAATTAGGTATTTTATGTATGTATTAATTTTCTAGAATTTATCCAGTATTATGTATTGGCACCCGTACTCCATAAAGATTAAATAGTGCACTTGGTTCAATACTTAATTATTTCCCCTCCTTTTTAGTGGTTCACCCATGTTCTCGAAATCCTAGATTCGTTTCTGGTCACCAAAGGAACAATAACTCAAACAAAGGGGATCAGTGGGACGGTAATAAAAAAAAAGTAGTATGGTTTAAGTTATTTGCAGTGATATTGTAAATATGATTTTTTTTATGGTCGGGTGTTATTTAACTAACAATAATTGATTATTAAAATTTTTTATCAGGTCACTAATTTTTTTAAAAATGTATTTGTTTATTATTGTCCAGGGTTGCGATGCATCAAATCTGCTAGTGGGACCAAACACAGAGAGAAATTCATCAAAAAATGCAGGGATGGGAGGGGGAGCATATGAATTGATAGACAGAATAAAAAAAGTGCTTGAAATTCGATGTCCCAGAGCCGTTTCTTGTACTGATATCCTCAGTCTTGCTACCAGGGATGCTGTTCACCTTGTAAATTCTCTCTCTCTATATCTCTCTCTCTTTCTTTCAGTTTATTTTAATTGACATTTTTTAAATATTTGTTTATATGACATACTTTTCTTTTTAAAAAGAATAGAAAATTTCTCTTTTGAAAACTGTTTAATTTTAGCATTTCACTTTTACCCTAATGATATGACTTGTTTGACCTATTTTGATATAAAAAGTCCATTCTTTTATTATAAGGAGAGATAAAATGAAAACACATGCGAAACTCTTATCATCACTCATTGAAAAAGATGATTTTGGAACTTTGCATGTATGTGGCTTACACGTAAAAAAAATTCTTTATTTTCTTAAACTTCGAACCGAATGAGTAAAATGAGATGGATGGAGCATTATTAAAATATCTCCTGTCGATCATATCATTACTTTCCAGATCCAATTCGGTTTTAGTGGCTTTGCTTTTTGTGTAAATTTTCGGTGCAGTATTCATCTTCTCAGAGTGAACTGTGAAGCATATATAAATGGATTTAAGTTTGATAATATAGAGTATTTATACTATCGATTTAACTTGCATATCAGTACACATAATTTAAACTTTTTATAAAATACTTGCAATACATCTATTGTTTTGATATGGTGATCAAAATCATTTTTTTATTAGGATTCATGTGCACGATACTTTACCTAATTAAAGTCCCCCCTAATCCATTTTCTTTTATATTGCCTAATTGAAAACCGTTTAATTGTGGAAAATTATAGGCAGGCGGGCCATCTTATCCAGTGTTGTTGGGAAGAAGGGATGGACTTGAGTCAAATGCTGCATGGATAGATTACCCTTCACCTTCCATGTCTTGGGAGGAAGGCCTTGCTTACTTCGAATCCAAAAACCTTGATGTTCAAGACTTTGTCACTCTTTTAGGTATCAGTTTATCATCTTCTATACTTATTTTAACAGTATATGTTACAATAACCTTTTGACACAACTTGATTAATTTGATCCTAATGTTTACATAGATCACTTATAACTTACTTTATGATATGCTATTAGAGTAGTTGGTAATGTGGTAAAAATGGTAACTGACCTGATTGGTCTTTGCATTGTTAGTGTATATCGTTAGGTATTTGTCCTGATTTTCTTATCATATTTGATTTTGCTATTTCTTGAAGGACAACATATTTACCATACGAAAAGGAAAAATATAATTCTTTCATATTTGGCTAGTCTATTTCTTGTAGGAAAATATTTGGACTTCTATAAATTAGGGATCATTCCTTTTCATTTAGTAGTATCCACAATGAAGCCATATGAGGTTTGAGAGTCTTGTTTAGGGGGAGAACTTTTCGAGACAAGTGTTAGTGTGTCACTTGTGTTTGCCTCTTCGTGAGGTTGTTCTCTCAATATTTTTGTTCTCTCTTTTATATAGTAGAATGCTCATCTCTGCCGTGAATGTAGGGCAGTCGATCGAATCACGTTAAATGTTTGTGTTTCTTTTGGTATATATTTCTTTTAATGTTTGATTTATCGTTGTCCAAGGTTTGATTTGTTAGCATCCACATGACGCTTGATTTTTCGGTCCTAACATATACAACTTAGTGTCTTCTAAGAACCATATTCATTTATCTTTCAGGAGCACATTCAATGGGGCAAGCACATTGCCGATTCTTCTATGACCGCCTTTACAATTTCAAGGGTACTGGAAAACCAGACCCCACCATGAAGAGATCTACATTAGTAACCCTAAGATCACAGTGCCCAAAAAATAGCAAAACCGATTCAGCTGTCTATTTCTCACCAGGATATGGTTCTAACTACACTTTCTCCAATACATTCTATGGAAAAGTTCTCGCTCACGAATCTGTTCTTAGAGTTGATCAGCAATTATCATATGGAGCTGACACAAATGAACTTGTCAATGAATTTGCACAAAGTTTAGAGCAATTCAGAAGGGCATTTACATTGTCAATCAACAGGATGGGAGGTCTCAAAGTGTTGACTGGTAAAAATGGCGAAATTCGCAGAGATTGCAAGTTTACAAATAAGAACAATCCCAATCTTTAGTAGGATCGGTTTTGTAATGTTGCATTAACTAATAATATGGCCTATATATGAAAATATATATGTAATTTCTTATACTGCTGATAAGCAGATATCCATTTTGTCATTTCGAACATT